ATGTGGGTGATGTAACAACAGCTTCGGGAAGGGTTAAATTCCAGTCTCGGGTGGTTTGGCAGGTAAATGATGGTAGAACGGTTTCTGTTCTAGCAAAGGGAATTTCTGCTAATGATTAAGGCGGCTTGATCTTCTAGATTGGTCGTGTTGGATAAGGTTCAGTCTAGATAGAAGAGAGAGGCCGTTAAGGATTTTGTGAAAGTATATAAGACGAAAGTATTTTCGTCTTATTTCAAGTAGAGGCAGATTCAATCTTCTAACTAAATTCTGACCGGGAGCGGAAAAGTTTCGAGTAACCATATGGGCTGCTAGATGTTGGACGGCCTCGAGACGAGACATCTGAGTGGTTTTGTCAGATTTGTCAGATTATGTACCAAATACTTGCTACATAATCTGACAAATAATCTTAATAAAGAACCACCGGTAGACACCGTTCTAGTCACATTCGATCTGGAGAAAGCCTTTGACAAAGTTCCGTACCAAATAATCATTTCTCGTTTGTCAGTGTTAGGTCTATCTCAAACAACCCTATAATGGTTTACGAACTACCTTTCCAACCGTTTCCAGCAAGTAAGAGTTGGCTCTAAACTGTCTATGCCAACCCCCGGTAATATCCGGAGTAGTACAAGGCTCCATCCTTGGCGCTCTGTTATTCCTAATATTCATTAATGATCTTCCTACCGTTGTAGACCTAGCGGCTGATACTATCCTCTTTGCCGATGATTGCACCCTCATCTGCCCTATAACAGCAATGCGGAGCTTGGCGCAGCTCCAATCTTATGACTCGTCAAAATGCGCGTGGATGTTCGTTTCCAATAGCCCTGATAAAGCAAATAATTTCAAATTTACCTTACCGGATGGCTCTAACATAAAGCGCGAGGAAAGTCTTATTCTGCTGGGGCTCGAAATAAGCTGTAAACTGAGATGGCGAGATCATATAGTAAAACTTGTGCGAACTTGTCGGCAACGCCTTGGCGCTATGTACAGACAGTTTAAACAAGCACCAGCTCATATCCGTCTTCAAATCTATAAGAACTGTATCCGGAGTAAGCTAGATTATGCCTGTGCCTTGTATGACACCGCTTTCACCACTCAGGTGCCTCGTCTCGAGTCCGTCCAACATCTAGCAGCCCATATGGTTACTCGAAATTTTTCCGTTCCCGGTCAGAATTTAGTTAGAAGACTGAATCTGCCTCTACTTGAAGTAAGACGAAAATACTTTCGTCTTATATACTTTCACAAAAGTCTTAACGGCCCGTCGGCGAAGCTCAAAATGAACAGGTTTGCATCAGATGCGGGGAGCAACACCCTTTAAAAAATCAATGCGGTAGACAAATTAAATGTGTTAACTGTGGACAAGATCACTTTACAGATCATCTTTCATGTCCAGTTGTTCAACCCTTGCGTAAACAGATTAGTGACCAACAGAAAATCAAACGAGGTGAATTATTAGTCGAAAAATCACGGCAGCAGCAGCAAGATTACGACTTTTATTCAAATGAACACTTTCCAATGGTAAACCACAATATGCTCAACATATCATCATCACAACAACATCATAAACCCAATTATGCTGGGACGTTAAATCAAAATATTATGCATATGAAACGGGATATGAGCAATAATGATAACGTTGAACAAATGCTATCTAATCATCTAGCGAAAATCAACCAACGCCTGTCTGATTTTGAATCCAGAATTCTGACACAATTTTACGAATTAGAAAAGAAAATCGACAAACAAGACGAAAGAATTTGTGATATTGAACATCTTATATATGACGCGTGCATGCCGAGTATATTATTGACGAATGATGTAGCATTTCAATCAACTCGACATCACCCAACAAAACAAGAATTAACAAAATATATAAATTTTATACAAAAAGCGGTAGACAATAGAGAGAGATCTAAAAAACGTGCCACCAGGTTACTATCGTCAACATCAAATTTTTTACCGCAAAACGACAATGAACAGGTCTAATTTACAATTCAATGTTTATAAATATTATGATCTGGCAAAACAAATTTTACCAGTATTAAACGTTCTTTCAAGATTTCAAAAGGAATTAGGCCTGCGAGTTGTTGAGGACCTGTGCTGGACACGAGAAACTATTTCTATCACTTTGAAACTGCGTTTTATCACGAAGTGCTCTGATTTACAGAAGATCAAAGATGATTTATTTTGTGTATACTTGAGAGGGCTATGTTTAGCCATGCGCTCTACACCAAACAGTTTTCATATAAAACACTTTTTGTAGCACATTATTTTTTGCAGTGTACACGAATATTTTATGTGTTACTATGTATGGTACAGTGGAGGATAGTCTTATTTGAAAGAATAAACCGACACAATTCCAAGCGCTAAGAACCGTCAGAAATCTTAAAACTTTGGCAAGGGGTTACCAGGCTAGAAAAGTCTACAATATAGTATTTAAGAATTCTGTACATTTATTCGCTAGCGAACTTCAAAACCCCATTCTGTACTTTCTCTGCAATTTCTTGTTATTCTTTCCATCATGAGAAAAGTGCCCAGTTTTCTGATACAGAAGTAAGAAAAACACCAGTTTAGAGCTTATTTTCTAAGGACTAATCGTTTTGTCAGCCCAATATCGTATATTTCAGCTTAATCGTACTAGCGCAAGAAAGCTATTTATATTACTTAGTACTCCTGAATAAATATTACAAAAAGTCAATAAATACTGGTTCGTTGGAAAAAGCACTTATGACTGCTTTTACAGAAAAATATACAGAAGAAGAAAATGCATTTTACTGCTAGTTCATTCATTTCCAGTGCAAATAAATCCGGCTTTGTTATTCTTCAGACAGACTGACTTCAATTAGATCTCACTGGCACTATTCATGGATTTATCAACTGCATTGTCAATATTTATTTGTTAATAATCTCAGTTCAAAATCACACAACTAATCAACTCTCCTGTTCTAGGACCATACAATTTCGCTTCACAATTAGCCTTCAAATGCATTCACTGTACTCAAGTCGGTAATATATAGCTTACGATTCTATGTTATCTCTTTCTCGTGAAAAATTACAGCATCTGGATGACCTTAGTTTAAGCAACATCAGGCATTTGAACGCACACACTTTTCTGAGGTGACATTTCGTACAACATTTCACGCCGCTAAATGTCCAACAAGTTCATGGCATTCTTCGACTTTTCTGGACAGTTGTTAGTATGTAACAACAGGCTGATTAACTTGAATACCATAAACCATATTCGTTTCGCCAACTTCTACCAATCTGAAATGCTTGTTTACCCAAAGCTTGAATTGTGCAGTGCCTCAACCATCATGTAATGTCAAACCAATATCATCGTACATATCTTGCTTGATTATAGATTGATCACGAAAGGACAAGTGGCGGTAAGGCCACCTTTTTGCTCAAAATATTTTTGAAAAAGAATTACATATTCCGAATCAGCATTAAATTCTGAGTAAAATGAGGGATTTTTTTCTGTCGAAAAACGACTTTCATTTTTTACCTGTAGTTTTGCACCTATCGAAAAATGTTCTTTTCAAAATCTTTGGTTCATACATCATCAGATGCGGAATTTGATGCTGATTCTGAATTTCTGGTCAAAATTCGAAAAGCATGAAGTTTTCGAGTTCAAGAAAAACCAATATTACTGCAGGATGCTAATAGAAGGTTGTTCCCGGTTGCCGACGTTAGGGAACTTAACAACGACATTATAAAGTCTAAAATGCATGCAGTCGTGTGCCAGTTTGCCTTTTCAATTAGAAGCATGTAAAAAAAGCGATTCAAAGCCAACTTTTGAATAGTTTTCGGATAAAATACTCAAAAAACCTGCAGAAAACAGGTTTTTGACACCTTTTGACCTAATATTATAGGATAACGAAATCTTAAACCCATGAGGGATATATATGAGTCGATGGAGTTTTTCATGCTCTATCCGAATATGACGTCAAAAATCGGAGAAAAAATGTGGAACACGGTCAAATATAAGAAATACTGATATGTGACCAGATTTTGCACTAGGTAATGCACATACAAGAAAATAGTAGATGTTGCACCAGTCATGTAATTGATGGTAGACTAAGCCAAAAATGTATTGAAATGATAAAATTATTTCAAAAACTAAAACAGGAAATACGAAATAAAGAGAAAAAGTTAAATGATTTAAAAGATCGATCACCATTGAACTTCGACGATCATGAAGAACCAATGAGTGACCAAAACTATCATGTTTTGACAGGCTTAACTCGAGATCAGTTTAACGATTTGTGCTCTTACATACCACCATTCACTTTACGGCATAGTGATATTAGAACACCTAGAATGGCAATTGTCATGCTATTAGTTAAACTTCGGTTAGGTAAGTCATCAAGCATTATGTACACTCCTCGGATTGGAAGAAAAAAAGCAAATCACTAGAATTTTAGACAGTGCTTGTTCTGCGTTAACACAGTATTTTGTACCTAAACAATTAGGTTTTGGACATGTAACAAGAACAGATGGGATACAAAACCACACACGGCCACTAGCTCAACAGTTACAGGCGGATGATGATCCGACCAAAGCTATAATTATACTAGATGGAACGTATGTCTATATACAAAAAAGCCACAATAATATACTGCAAAGACGGACATATAGCATTCATAAAGGAAAGCCATTTGTAAAGCCAATGATGATAGTCTTTTCTGATGGCTACATAATAGCGGTTTTGGGTCCGTTCTTTGCAGACGGAAAGAATAATGATTCAGAGATTACAAAATATTTATTATATAACAATGTCCAAGGACTTCAGGACTGGATGCAACCAGGAGATGTGGTCGTCGTTGACCGCGGTTTTCGTGATTGTCTAATAGACTTACAGAAATTTGGTTACGAGACAAAGATGCCTCTATTTATGGAAAAAGATCAAACACAGTACACCACTGACGAAGCAAATAAAACACGACTGACTAGTAAAGTACGCTGGGTCATAGAATCGACAAATGGCCGTGTAAAGCAATGGCGTTTCTTTAGTAACGTGGTGCCAAATACGATAACAGAGAAGATAGGCGATTGTTTCGAAATCGTGTGTGCTTTGATAAACTGCTATAGACCAGTATTTGTTAAAGATACAAGCAAAGATAAAGAAATTGCCCAACAAATTCTACAATTGGCTAGTGAGACCAGTAAAATAAAAGAATATAGCGAAAAAATCAAAGATAAAAACGGAAAGCAACCAAAGTGGACTAATCTAAACGCTACCAATAGTATTGATATCTTGAATTATGATATCTTGTTGATAAAATGAATTATGATGAATTACAGAAGCTAACACTGAGTACATACCAGTTAAAACAAGCACGTTCCTATACTACAGAACATTTATCAGAGGACGGAGCATATCTTGTAAGAGTCACAAACCAAAGGCAGGACCTTTTGCGAGCACAAATACAATTTCGTCACAGGAATGCTGTGAAATATGACCTATACATACAATATAACACGAGAAAGGTTACAGGCTGGTATTGCAAATGCCCAAACGGGAGTCGTGTAGTTGGTTGTTGCGCCCACATAGCTTCAGTAAAATATTACCTAGCTTTTGCTATGTATAATCCACAACACCTACAACCTCGATCATCCAAATACTACACCTCATTAACTGATGCTGTAGACTATTCTGATGTTTCAGATGCAGAATCAACTGACGAAGACGACTCAAATACACTATATCATTTAGGCTAACCGCTTTATCTATCTTCTTTTACATCTAATTGAAAAGGCAAACTGGCACACGACTGCATGCATTTTAGACTTTATAATGTCGTTGTTAAGTTCCCTAACGTCGGCAACCGGGAACAACCTTCTATTAGCATCCTGCAGTAATATTGGTTTTTCTTGAACTCGAAAACTTCATGCTTTTCGAATTTTGACCAGAAATTCAGAATCAGCATCAAATTCCGCATCTGATGATGTATGAACCAAAGATTTTGAAAAGAACATTTTTCGATAGGTGCAAAACTACAGGTAAAAAATGAAAGTCGTTTTTCGACAGAAAAAAATCCCTCATTTTACTCAGAATTTAATGCTGATTCGGAATATGTAATTCTTTTTCAAAAATATTTTGAGCAAAAAAGTGGCCTTACCGCCACTTGTCCTTTTTTTGTCCGTATGTGCGCATCGAGTATTTCATAAAATCTCTCCATTATGACTTATAACTAACTGTATGAACTTCTATACTACCTAAATCCATAAGTATTTCTTTCCTTTCCTTTCTTTTACTACTTTGATTTCCAGTGGAGATTGAAATATGAGAGTTAATCACAAGGCCTGGTGGAATTTAAAATCTCACTATAGTGGAGATTAAAATTTGATTCTCCACTAGTTGAACTTAAGATTTCATTTCCCACTGGCAAGAACGTCAGCCTTTCTCGTCCCGTGATAGGAAAGGGGGGACATCCTGCGGCCAACGACTCTACAAATGATTCATTTGGACACCTACTGTGCTCAGAACAGCATATAAACTTTAACTGGAACCATTTACGGCGAACTTTTATATAAATAAACTATACAAAGGCTTTCTAGAAAACCGAAATGCGTGAAGCTGACCTTTGAAAAGCGTATTTTTTTCTTCATGTCAGTCAAATTATAATTTCCACTATCGTGAATCGAAATACGAGTGTTAGTTATTTTTGATCATTAAATTCTGCATGAGACGATGTGTGTTTCAAAATATTGTGACAAAAAGATGTTTTCGATATTCCAAGGGGTCGGGGAAAAGTTTTCCAAAGGAATCGAAAGTCGATTCAGGAGTGAATCAAATACGTCATTTCAGTCAGAATTTCATGCTGATTCCGAATATATGATTCGTTTTCAGAAATATTGGGGGATGCAAACTGACTTCATACAGTTCCGTCCTTTGTTCTAGCTAGTATGATCGACGAGAAAAATGAAAAACAAAGCCAGCGAACAATTTTTGGAGTCATTCTAGTTTAAAGCAGCGTAGTATTTACTACCCAAACGCTGCTGGCGCTAAAGTCACCTTATAAAGATACATTCATATTAGAGCTGCAACTGTCTGTCTACTTTTTTCTGCACAGTGAAAAAAACCATTTTTGCATGAAAACAAAGTAAATCAATCTGCTATACAGAGATCGCGTTACTAAGTAATTAGAGAGTAAATCAGATATAATGGAAACTAAAGGTACTTTCAACTTCCTGGAATAAAGTAAACATAAATTTGCTGCTCTGATTCAAACTTTTCTTTACATGACTACCTACGGCTACGACATAATCTGCTTCTCCGTTTGGTGTAATCTTCACCATTTTTTATGTTTTACAAAGATTTTTTTCACGTGTTTCTTCGTTCTCATGTTCTTAGCTTTGACAAACTATTCTTTTTAAACCTTTGGTAGCGATTCAGTAGAAGACACATTCGCTTACATTGTACTTTAGTCTATTTTCTCACTGGTTAGTTTCTTCAAAAGCTTCAATTTCATTCAATTAAGTCCAGATCAGGCATGCAACCATCCCAAGCTAGGACTCGCTGATCGGCAGCGAACATGTTCAGTACCAAACATGTTCAGTAACAAACCGTTCGGTGCCGATCAGCGATTCCTAGTTTGGGACTGTTGCATGCCTAGTATGAAAAATCAGAGATCATCCTTAGTTTCATAGAAACAAGGGACCAAGACTTCTCTTGCTTATAAAATGACCTCATCCGCTTCCATCCTTTGAAAAAGGATTCCAGTTTCTATCAGATATGCTGCATAAAAAGGTTCTGTCAAAGCTCTCGAAACCAACGTCTCTGGAAAGACAAAAACCAGACCAGACAATCTGAAAATTCGTCGCTAAACTTCCGCTATGTAAAGCAAACATTTCTGAGGAAAATGAGATGCCTTCGAGCACTTTACGACATTTTTTCATGAAACATCATTCGATTTACGGATCGTCCCATACCAGCAAAACTGAGGGGAAAACAAGATGATACGAGATCTTCACTTCTCTTCTGCTTCTAAAAACTTGTAGAACCATCACAATCCATCTTTTATTATTATCGTTCTAACTGCAGTGTGATGAAATGCACATGTTGCTTCGAATGTATTGCCAGATCGATTCGGCATCTATTCAACATGCGTACTCATTTATTTTCTTTTGATTTGGCACTTGTGTCTTATAGTCATGGAAAAGAAAGAGTATAAATACTCAGCTTTCGTTAAGGGAACGCAATTTTCATTCTTCGCATCGAGTTATACAAGCAGAGATGGCAAAGCAAATAGTTTACATGTTATCGTTGGTGGTATTCGTATGGGCGTACGTGTTTTCGACAATTGATGCCAATCCTCACCAGCTTGCTTATAACCAAGGCGGGGACTACCACCTTAAGCACAGTAAAACTCAGAACGTTGATGATGAAGACTCGCACACGAAACAAGCTAAATTGAACGCTCTCTACGAAGACTCGACCGGCAAGAAGCACGAGCTAAACGAAGAGAATCGAGATCATGCATTACAAAAGCATAAAGAAGCTGATTCAGAGTTGGAAGAGAAACGAAACAAATACAGCGGTCATCCACATAGATATGCGGGTAAAGGCAGCGACAGTGACTCCAGCGACAGTAACGGCTACGGAAGTGAAAGTCGAGATGATAAATACAACCGTCATCCACATAGATATGCGGGTAAAGGCAGCGACAGTAATGGCTACGGGAGTGAAAGTCGAGATGATAAATACAACCGTCATCCACATAAACATGCGGGTAAAGGCAGCGACAGTAACGACTACGGGAATGAACATCGAGATGAGCGAGTGAAGCGCGGAGCTCCAGAACACGGTTATCATGATTCAAGCGGATACGGTAGATCAAATTTCGGACAGTATGCAGAGAAAAAGCATGACAGTTATCCAGAAAGTCACCCTGGCTATCCAGCATATGAACACCACAAGAAGTCCAATTACGGGTGAGTGAGTTTAGTTCTTGTTTGATAGTTGAACGTTGCTCTCTTCGTTTTTCAGAGGCCACGACAACTGGAACAAGAAAGAAGTTCATGAGAAGAAATCTGCACAAGAACATAAACATCACAAGGAATCAGAAGATGAAGCACTAAAGTATTCTAGACGTCACGGTGAGTATGCACCACGCAAGTCTGAACATAAACCATACCCTGAAAAAAAAGAATCGTATAACTCGAAACCACGCAAAAGCTACAAACCAACTACGGAAAGCCCAACAACACAAAAGCCGTACCAATCAACTACACAAAAACCGTATCAACCAACTACACAAAAATCGTACCAATCAACTACACAAAAACCGTACCAATCAACTACACAAAAACCGTACCAACCAACTACAGAAAAGCCGTACCAACCAACTACACAAAAACCGTACCAACCAACTACACAAAAACCGTACCAACCAAC